CAAAAACAATCCCCAGCATATTCTGTTGTCAGACACGACTGGAACTTCAAATGGGACTGACTTCTATGGTCAGATGAAACTAAAAAATTAGCTTTTTAGCAGCAAACACTCAAGATGGGTTTGGTGCACACAGGGATAAAAAGTGCCCCATGTGTGCAATTAAATATGCTGTATTTTTGATGTTGTGGGCCTATATTTCTGCTGGAGGTCCTGGACATCTTGTTTAGACACATGGCATCATGGATTCTATCAAATACCAACAGATAAAAAATCAATAAGTGACTGACTCTGTTAGAAATCTTATAATGGGCCATGTTTGGATCTTCCAACCGTACAATAATCCAAACACAAACCTCAAAAACAACACAAAAATGGGTCTCTGAGCACAAAACCAAGCTTCTGCTATGGCTATTCCAGTTCCCTGGCCTGAACCCTATAGAAAATGAGTGTGGTGAACTGAAGAGAAGAAGCACCAACATGGAGCTGTGAATCTGAAGGATCTGGAGAGATGCTGGATGAAGGAATGGTCTCTGATCTCTTGTCAGGTGTTCTCCAAACTCATCAGGCATTATAGGAGAAAACTCAGAGCTGTTATTATGCCAAATGGAGGTTTCAAAAAGCATTGAATAAAAGGGTGCCGTTAATTGTGGCCAATGTGTATTAGAGAAAAACATTTATTTCATAATCATATTTCCCCCCATTTTAAATTCTTATTATCCAATGAAAGGTTAGATTTTTGTGAATTTTTTAAATAAAAGCTCAAAAGGATTAAAAATGCAGATTAATTTTCACAGCCTTCTTTGATCATATTTACCAAGGGTGCCGATATTTTTGGCCATGACTGTATGTAAACCCTTAAATCACCTTGCTGCGCGGGCTTAAAATGTAATTTACACTCACTGAGAAGATACAGAGAGACCAGATATAATAAGATACAATTGTCATGCTGTTCTTCGTACAATCATTGTATCCAAAATTTCCCACCTTTCACTGGTGCATGCAGGTTACACTTAAAATAGCCATTTAATGAATGATCTAAAATGCAACTGTCAGCTGTTTTGTCAGAGGACAGCCATTGCAAGTACATATTCTGTCCTTGGTGGAACATAACAAGAAGATTGCACAAGGGAACATTTATGTTAAGTAGCTCTATGAAAGTGAAGAGCAGGCACAACAATGCCGGTAGAACTTTACATAAAGGTCAGTTTTCACTATACAAAAACATGTGGACGAAAGGCAAAAATGTAAAGAGAAATATGTTTTTAAATTTATCCAGATTAAAGGATTAGTTCACTTCCAGAATAAAAAATACTCCCCTCGATGTTCAAGATGTTCATGTCTATCTTTCTTCAGTCGAAAAAAAGGGTTTTAAGGTTTTGAGGAAAGCATTTTTCTCCATATAATGGACTTCAATAGGAGCCAATTGGTTGAAGGTCCAAATTGCAGTTTCAATGCAGCTTCAAAGGGCTCTATTTTTTATTCTGGAAGTAACTAATCCTTTAATGTGGACATACTAGCCTCAGTTCCCCTTAAAGGGGTCATATGATGCGATTTCAATTTTTCCTTTCTCTTGGTGTCCTACCAGAGTAACCACAGGTGTAGCTCATTACTATGGACATAGTCAACTAAGGTGAGTGTCACAATACTTTTTTTTGTAAGATCCTTGTTTTGTAATTTAAACAAACTTCATGAATCTCTTTTTGCTGAATGGTTTGAGTGAAAAGTGTGATTGAGATGTTTTCAAATGGCACTTGGTTCGATATTCAGCTATGAAATATACTGACATTCACATATATATTAAATGCATCCAAAGTTTTATGTTGCTGCCTGCTTTTCCAAGGTAATTTCTCCAAAGTTGCCAAGGCAGAGCCTGAATGTTTGTTTATTATGTGTACAAATTGAAATAGATTTCCACTAAATGGCTACAACCTGCCATCTGTTTATCTCCATCTGTTTGTGAATGTTTTTCATAAGCTCTCCAGAAAAAAATACCAATAATTTGCATCAAAGTGTAGATCAGCTTCCCTGTTTCTACAAAGAAAAATATCCGTCTTTTCATTAGAAACATTTACAAAAAAAACACACCCCAATAAATTCAAAATGTGTTCACATCCTGCAGATTGACATTCTGATCCTTTATTTGTTCCATAGCATTGCCTGCATAGGTTGTAGTATAAATTAACACACACTTGAATTCAACTGACACAGTCAGTCAATTTGCTCATACATCAGAGCTCCTGAAAAGCTGAAGACATCCCAAGATGGACAACCACTTGGTATGCTCACCATTGCCGACATAAATAAAGCAGTCAAGGACACGCACATATTGTCCAATAGCATTGGAGATAAAGCAGCATGTTTTACCTAAAATCAATTAAAGAACAAACTTTAATATGCTTTTGTGCTTTTTCAGTACTTTTAACTGTACTTTATTGGAGTGATGCATGTAAAAGCTGAATGTTTGTGCTGAAATGTTTAATGCCTGGATCTTTGAGCCAAAATGTAATCGTAAATGTCACATATGATTTGCGACTTGTTTAATGGGTGCAAAGTATCACTGAGGGTGTTGTTTTTTTCATCTCAGTTCCTGTTCAGCAAAAGAATGGCATATGTTTTATGTAGTCACAGTTATATCAGACGAGCCAGACTTGAAGCAGTCTCTCTTCTTGCCTGCATCTGGCCTGAAATGCTGAAGATTCCCACTGTCCTCTCCCACCGTCTCTGTCCCGGTCCTGACCTCTCTAAGAGGAAAACTACTGCAGTGTAAATCCCGACCGCTAATACTGTAAAACTCCCACCAACCAGCATCACCACCCCGGATATATACATGTCATTCAGTGCTTTCCCAGGTTTGGGCATGTGGTAGGACAGGGCCACATCCAGCAGGACAGTTCCACAAATGAGCAGAGAGGCCCCTGTGATCAACATGATGAGGACATCAGATAAACCGCCACTTTTTAGCATGTTGATTCGGCGCCTGCTGCGCACGCAGTTCATGTCCTGGACAGCAGAACTCAGCAACTGCTTGAGGAGGACGGCCAGAGCGAGAAGGCAAAGAGCAGTTCCGGTGCCCAGTCGCCACTCGCTGGAAAGGCTGGTGGTGGTGGAAAGGAGGCCTACGCCGCCCAGGCCGCAGCCTAAGATCAAGGCCACTGAAGCGCAGTAGCATAATAAGGATTTGCGTGGCTCGCTGAACCACCAGAGCTCCACCTGCTCCTCCAGGAGGTTCTGCTGGATGCGAGCTGGGTCAGGATGAAGGTGGCCCTGAGGAGGGGAATAGTCCTCTAGTTCTGACATGATGTTTGCTGCTAATGGTGCTCAAGACAGGTCCCAGCTGTGAGAGGACACCTGGTTAGAGTTCCTGGAGAAAACAAGTTGGAAATTAGGTAAGAAGATGCCATGTGTGCAGTTGACAAAATATATATATAAAAAAATCCTGTTAAATTCATGATTAAAAAAAGGCAGATTTGATTGCCAGAAATTCACATTAAAATATATTTATAAATATGCTGTTAAATTCATGATTAAAAAAATGGCAGATGTGGTTGCCAAAAATTCACATTAAAAATATATTTATAAATACAGTAGGCTATATGTATATTTCACAGTTCATAACTGAATATTTTATTATTTTTATCACTTGTATACTATAATATACCAATGCAAAATACTTGAACAAATCTGCTTTTGTACTCTAAAATACATACTGATATACTAATAACCAAAATAAAAATATGAAAAAGTAGTCAAATAAATGGCCACGTGATGAATTAAATCAAATGTCAGCAGGGTTAGTCATGCTATGAGGGTAACACATATAACCAAAATAAAGCATTATCTAAATAACATAAATTATAACATTAACATACTTTTGTGTACATAACTGATTATGAAAGTAATAATAAAGAATTTATAATTATTTATATAAAAATATGGCACATCACACAGGGACTCATGGAGATTTTTTTTTTTTTTTTACCATAAATTTAATATAGTAGCCTAATTCATACTTTTTACTTCTAAAAACACAACTGGACTGACCAAATCATTATCAAAGATGCATTTTAGAAGTTCCATCCAAAATTAGCTCAGTTTGGCTTGAAAATCCGAGGGGTCAAATGCCATCAATGTCACCAAACAAAACAGGGAAATAAGGTATGTTAAACTGCACATCACTCTCCCCACTCCCCAAAATAGGCAAAGTTTAACAAAATGTTACAAATATTATGTAAATTATTCAGTAGGGTTTTAAAACAGCATTTTGGAGTCAGACCAAGCTGCTTAATGGCTAAAACACCGCTTTATTTATAAAGCTGTTCTTAAAATCAATTTACGATGTGGTCAAACAATGAACACAAGGTTTAACTGAAACACTTGGATGTGTGTGGAGAGAGAATAAAGATTTTAAGTAGTGTGAGAAGACAATTTCCCTTCTGCTCAGGGGCTCGGGCATTAATTCCTTTACAAATGGCCTGTCTCTGTGGTCCCTGTAACCCTCAAGGTTGCAGGACAGACAGCTTGTCTTTACAATCCCGTAAGTGGCTTTGCCTTCACAGTTAGCACTGCTGCACCAGCAAACTGCATCTGCTCCTCAACTACATTGCATACATTATAATCAAAGACCAAGGCGAACTGTTTTGCTTTTTATCCAGGACCAGTGACATTATTTTGCACTGTTTGTTCAAAGTCAGTCACTGGCACAGTGTGGCCGTAGGGTTGTGTACATGTACGTTTGTGAAGCTTTGATAATTAAGTCCCTGTAGACCTGAGTCTCATATCACTGACATACTGTTTCCCTGTGACTGAGGTGAGGCATGAAGAGGGAAAAATGAAAACAAGAAAGCAAAAACACCAAAGTCCATGCTAAGATTACAATAGTTGTAAATAGTAGTTAGTTCACAAAATTAAAATTCTGTGATTATTTACTCACCCTCATGTTACCCATGTGGGTCCTTGTTTGGAACAAAAAAGAGAAATTTTAAAGAATAACATTAGTTGCTTTCTTCCAATGCCATTACAATGGACAGGGACTTTCAAGATTCAAAAAGAAGCAAAAGAACCATAAATGTATCATCATAAAGATTTGTGTGTAATAGCTTGTGAATCCCATCCTGGTTCTTCTTGAAACCTCTAATTTGTGAATGAACTACTCTTTTAAGTGAAATCTTTTTAATTAATCTATTGATCTATTGAACCAGTCTGAAAGATTTGTCCACTAATCAGACTGATTCACTTTTTGAGTTCAACTCACTGACCCACTATGACTTAAGAAGACTTGGAATATAGTGTACATGTAATATGAACCACATGTTATGGTGTTTTTGAAGCTTGAAAGTTGTATTATGAATGTCTATTTTGTGTTTCATACAAGAGGGTGAGTAAATGCTGACAGAATGTTCATTTTGGGGTGAACTATCCCTATAAAAATTAATAATAATTGTTAATGTTTCTTTTACTGCAAGCCAGAAAGCAAAGGACAAAAAATAACGAACACAGCACTGATTTTCACATTTTTTGTATGATTTCTGCACCCCCTACATTCTCCAGTTATGTTATAGAGTATACTGTATTTCAACCTGTCTTATCCCATCTGCCCAGTCTAAAAGATTACCTGGTATGAGAGCTCTTCAGTCTTACTGAAACATCAGATCAGCTTTTTGAATCTTAGAACTTTTATGAAAATATCATGAATGTGATCTTAGATGGGTGCCTTATGTTACATTGGAGGTGTACTCACCCTAAAGAGTTAGAAAGTGTCTGAGATGAGAGTGTTTCTCCATGTGGCAGTTTATCATTCACTGGTGCGTTTACTTTCAGTTATTTCCTCGACAGAGTGCGGAGAGAGAAAGGACCGCAAGCAAATATTCTATATCACCTCAGGGTTGAGACTTGATTTGAGCTTATTATTTATGTCCTTCACCTTAGCTTATACTTAAAAATCATTTCTAAAAATATACTGATGTTTGGTTTTGATTCGCAATGGCTCCTTGGAAAGTTCTCCTCTTTAGTTTTGTGATATCACTGACAGGTGCAGTCCAGACTCTTAAGTGTATTTACAAGACTGCCTGCATGAACACAACCAGGCCGACCAGACAGCTGAAAGTGTGCAAGATGTAATTCTTAGTTTTAAAGCATTTATAATTATTAGTAGTCAGATTCCTTTACGCTGACATGAAAAAACCTTCTAAATGGCTGATCTGTCAGTGTAGCGGCCTTGGGGCTGGACAGCCGTCCAACTTAGCCCTCAATTTAATAAACAGTCCACAGTTAGTTTGCCTGCAAGGTCTCTGAGGTTATTTCATAGGCAAAATGTCTCTGGATGTCAGTGTGAGTGATCCGCAAACCAGGACAGAGGTGTTCCAGTTTAGGAGCATTCTGACAGTGTACCTCCTCCTCTTTCTTGGATCATGTTGCTGTTGGCTATTGAAGTTTGGTGGTTTTCTTGAAGATTTAGAGCAAACGGCATCTTTCCCGACAGGTGTGAATGCTGAGCATTGTGGCAGGCCAAGCGCGCCATTCATTCTCTAGTCAAGCGATACGCTGTTGTATCTCTGACTGCAGGTCTCTGATGGATCTGAAAAAGAAGTATTCATAAAGCAGGCTCTTGTCTTGTCTCCGGTCACCATACAACAGCTGATGCCTTGTCTAGCATACTCTTCTCTGCCTGGTTGCTAGACACAGACAATGGAGCAAGTCTCTGAGTTCTTCTCTTGGCCAGGATGGGACTATCACTATCACTATCTGTATGGAGACAAAGGAAGCAAAGAATTGACAGTTAGACGTGAAGGGGATACGTAAAGGATATGCAGTATGTCTAATTCATCAGGGTTTAATGAATTGCTTTTGGTTGTTAAGGCAGGAAACTGCTGTGAAGGGAGATCTGAGCAGGGGTGGAGATTTCCTTTTCCATATCAAGGGTTCAGATGAGAGAAACCTTTGCGGCAAGGTGGAAATGGATGGAAAATCATGAAAACATTCATGAAAAATTCATTTTTTTATTTAAAGCTATTTTTCCAAGTTATATGAATATATTCTGAAGGCTTGTTGAAAGTTCACTATATTTGTAACTCCTATGGCAGCACCATTTTAAAAAATGTTCAAAAGTGTCACGTTAGTTGTTCCAAAAAGAAGGGAACTTAATTATGCTGCCTTCTAAGATGCATCAAATAGACCAAATTCAAATTCATTCATGTTTATTTCATATTATAACTAGTAAAGAGGAAATGATGATTGGTTCACATGCCCCTTGAACTGCGGTGCTACAGCAATCTGTCACGACACATTAAAGAGCCACAAAACATTATTTATTGTTTGAATTTCTTAAAAAAATTACAAAATTTGAAAGCTGAGACTTAAAGTAACCTTCTCTGTCTGGTCTGTCGATGTGTTGGTAGTTTTCTCTTTGCTCCGCAATGTATTTTTCACTGTGTGAAAACATGATGTGTAGCATGAGAGCGCCATGGCTTGTCAGACATAGCAACAGTAAAGAAGGAGGTCTTTGCGAAGGGTAAGTTACAACATGACGAGTAAGTACTTATTCAAAATAAGAGATTTGAGATTTGAGTAATTCAGTATCCGAATCTACTAATTAAAAAAACAGTTCAGTTTAATTAAAAATGTACTAATGTACACAATAATTGTGTGTGCCATCATTTATTTTTACACTTATTATGGAATTACCCTGATAGAAGTTCTGATGGGCTGATTGTTAGCTTAGCAACATGCTAATTCCAAACTCTATCTGGAATAAATTGTGAGTTGAGTTACTAGTGTGTTCCAAATCAGTCACTTAAAAGTTTACATATTTGTCAGGATTGTTAGGCAGCTGCCTATGTACAGTGTGCTAGATTTTGGAACAGACCACATTTTAGCAAGTCTTTTTCTTGCTCAAATGTTAATACATGTTCCCTGAAGATTAATACAGACAATGCTCATGGAATCACAAACATACAACAGGCTAAACTCTATATTCTACTCATTAGTATTAAATGTTGAGCTGTACCTGAAAGAGAATAAATGAATCACAAACTATTTTGTAGAAGATCTGGGTACTGGTGGGCCAAGAGTAAGTTGTTATGGTCATGCTACTTGCTGCCCGTCTCTCCTTCCTGCTTAATCCACATTTTATCAGCCTGCACACATGGCTCAAGTTACTGTCAGGCATAACCTCAGGAACAAACCGCAAACAGCAGCTGGCCTGGACCCTGCCTTCTGAGCTGCATAAACCACTCTTGATTTTTCACCCTTAATCTCTTGCTATTTCAACTGAGAAATGCTCACGGTTTCTCTGTTTCTGACTCAATTTCTGCATCTATCTGTCTCTTTTTTTTCCTATGTTGCACTGCCGTTCTGTTGGCTGGGGAGGGATAGCCTTTTTGAAAAGCACAGCTCCCGTTCCCAGTGCTCTTTCTTTTCATCATAAAAGTTAACATATGCCACGTACCTTATTCCATCATTTCACTTCAAGACTCAGTGGTGTCATTACATCCTCTCCTTCCATCAGTACACTTTCCTCTAAAGAACACTCTTACATTCCAACCCCTCACTGCAGCTAACCACTACACTTGTAGGAGGAAACAGAACACAAAATGACATTATAAAGACAGATTACTCAATCGTACTCTGCGCAAAATCTCAGTGTTCTTTATGTATGATTAACTCAACAACAATAGACCTGGTACGGCTTTTATGGGTGTGCAAATAGTGCAGAAACATGACATGACTCATATCTTTCTAGAAACCTTTGTGCATGTCAGTAAAGGCTAAAAATATACAACATGACTTTTTTCCACAATCTGCAGTCTGAACTCGTCAACGTTAGTCAACGTTAGCCAATCTGCAGATTTTTGGTATAAAGGGCGGAATACACTACACGACTTTTAAAATTCAGAAACATATTCAAAACACAAGGCATCAAACACTTGCCAGCTGAGGGTCACACACTACCAGACTTTCAAGTCACACCAAAAAACAACAAACTCACACAGAAACTTGTGCCTTGGCACGGAGCTCAGTGAGAGCTCAAATCGGCTCAAAATATTGAATATGTTTGATATGTTTCAACTGGATGCAATGATAGTCTGTGCCTATCATATACGCAATTTTCTGTGAAACACCAAATGCCCAAAATCTGGGCACTGTTGGAAACTAGCGTCCAACCTAAGGCTGGAATACTGTGCAAATAGTACATTTCAGCCTTGGGTTGACAGATTTCACAAAAAATCGTGTAGCATATGATGAGCAAAGACTTTTTGGCTTCAGACTATGATTCCATCCAGTTGGAGGATATTGAACACGTTTGATATTTATGCCGATTTTAGAGCACATATTATTTTTACTCGTCACGCATCTCCTAGCAACAAGGTGCATGTTTCTGCATGAGTTTGTTGTATTTAGAACAATGTGAAAGGCTGGTATTGTGTGATCCTCACTCATTTAGTATATGATGGCCAGTATTACTGTGTAATCATTTTGGCAAGTGTTGGATCCCTAATGTTCAGATGTAGTGTGTTTCAGCCTTAAGGGTGCTATTTTGTCTGGTAAGGTCTACGATGTTCTGTATTCACTGCTGTTCGGTGCTTGATTTTACTGTTTTGGGCACAGCTGCAATATTAAGCACTAATTAAATCACCAATTAACAGGCCCGTCCACCCAGCGCCATACTGCTGACAAAAGGAAAAAAACGTTTACCTCTCTTCCTGCCTATCTCTCTCCCCTTTTCATTCTCAAAACAGTGACAGCATCCAGAATAATCTGGCCTCGAGGACAGCAGAAATGTGAACATAATCCATAATGCAATACAAAAAAAGGGCAACTATCCAGCTCGGCCACTGAGCTCCATTTTCTCTGACCTGCCCTCCATCTGTGACACAGACACCAGCCCGGTTAAGACACCTGCACCTGCTCCTTCACCCTTAGGGCACAGTTTCATTCTACTGGTTGTCTCCGTGTCTGTCACAGAATATTCTGAAATATACACTTTCGGGATGTTTGGATGTTACTGAGTGCTGTCATGCACCTGGCGTTTTTAAGATCTGTGTGCTTATAAGGGATCTCCGAGGAGAGGATGAGGAAGGAGCCCAGAGTTTTTTTGGTTTGTTTGGCACCTGGAAGCATAAATTTGAGATTCCTTTCATTCCGTGCAGATGCATTGTCAAAACTCTCTATCAAAACTCCAAATAAGGTTTGTTACTCTTTTATAAAAATAAGTACTGGTGATACCATTCCAAAGTATTCTACAGTAATGATATAAGATGGTGTTACCATGGAACTGAAAGACCATATTCACCTACCTTTGTATTCACTGTATGTGGCACTCCAAGATGCTTTAGAGAATACCTTGGCAATATCATGGCAACTTTGGAACTATTTGACATTATTTTTTTTGTTTGTGCTTTTTGCTTTGTCCCATTTTGTCTTGGCTACAGTATGGCTCCTGTTATAATGTATAATTGTAGGTGTGTTAATGGCCATGCCCAACAATAAAGTAACAATAAAGCAATAAAATGTCATAAGACTGCTTAAATTTGATTTTATATCCATGATGTGACATTTTGTCAACACCTCCAATGTAGCCAAAAGACCATATTAACAAAGGTTTAATGGTAGAGAGAGGGTAACCATGATTAATTACTATCTTTTTTTTCCTCTAAACTATTACACTGTCACTGTAAAGCACTGTTCACACTGAATCGCATTGAAAGGGCACCTACGGCATTAAAATAATTTGCTTCCCTTTTATTTTATGATACCGAATAAGATTAACTATACAGAAGGGCATTACCTTTCTTTCACTATAGGCTGTTATAGAACTGTTACAGTTCTGCAGCTCCTCTTTAGTAATTTGCTTTCATTTGACTTAATACAAGTTACTCTTTAAACCACAATATGTTTGACACAGATATCACAGTGTCCACATTAAGTGTCATCTGATAATTATATAAATTCTTCATTCCAAATGATATGGCCAATTTCTGGTGTCCTCAAAACTCAGAACATATGGATTGGTCATTTGTGTGTTTTTTTGTTTTTTTTTTGTCAGCTCAGAAATAAAATCAGAAATGGTATCATGTGAGAATGATACTCCACACATCTGACACCAAATAAGTACTGCTTTTTCTTCAAATGTTCCCATGGTTTTATTCGAAAAATCACAATATATATTGGAATGTTACTGTTATAAGATGTGAAAAAAAAAGAAAGAAATGACTAGTGTACTGGATGCTTGTTTGCATAATTGCAAAAGGACTAACAATAAGTGTTATCTGTTCCAGGAAATAAATGAATGTTGTTCATAGGTATTACTCACCATTTTTCTTAAGTAATTAGATTATAATGTTAAAAAAGGTATTAAAATACATTATTAATTATAGGAGGAAGGGTAAGTAATTATTCATATTTTATCTGATAAAGTTGTTGATATGCAGTATGTATATTAAATGTGCTGTTACTGGCTTTTATCTTGTAACACTGGTGAAACATTTCACACAGTATATGAGGATAATATATTTAATGTGCAAAGTCCAAAAATCCATATACAGAACAGAACAGTTAGTTACAGTCCTCTTGTTTTAGGAGTGATGTTATTCTATATAATAGAGCTGCTAACATCACTCAGCTTGACTGTATTTGAGCCATTTGTGCAACATGAACTTGTAAACTATTTTCATAGAAAAAAAAGTGAACTAGCTAAATTTTGCCTATGATATTGAACATCACATCTCGGTCCTACTGTAGTATACTAAGTATTATATAATATTATAAATTATATTTATAATATTATAATTTTATGATTACCTGCCATAGAAGCTAATTTTACTATTTGATATGCAGCAATAAATATTGTATGTTTATAAAGTTTTTGGATGCTATGAACAGATTTAAATACTTACCTTCCCTTGACTTTACACATCAGCACATGAATTTCCAGACGTGAAAGGCAAACGCTACATGCTTTTTAAAAAAACCTTACAGAAGGAAGTCCTAAAACTCCAGTGCAAAGTTTACATGTCCTGCGGTGCTTTATCAAGGTGTGAATGCTCCTATCTGTCTTATACTTTTATAACTCATAATAAATATATTTCTATTTAAACCTAAAAGAATAAGAAGGCGTGCTATAAGAACGTTTCCGTTCTTACCTGTGATGCGCTGGCGGGCAGCACCATCCCGAACACGTCAGCCAAATACGCAAAGCAAGAAAAATACAGCCAATTCGTCTGAGAGGTGAAACGCGCTCAGCTAAAAGAGATATCAAGTTTAATGTAAGTCTCGCACAGTAATCCCGACCATATCAGTTTGTCATTGCGATTGGCGTTGCAGGTGCGCCGCTCTTCTCCAGCGGGACACCTGCAGCGAGAAGAAGCTTCTAGTCCAAAGGTCTGACGTTAAATGACGACAAATGAAAACAACCAAACAACGTTCTATATGTTCGTTCATTCTGCTTCGCGTTTCAAGCACTGCACGACAAAATGTTCCTACCTGGAAATCATCCGCGGAGTTACCTGCTCCGTCTGTTGTAAAACCTGAAAACCTGTAACTAGCATGACCAGTGTTTATAAATACATCACTCAGGCTACTGCAAGAATTGTGTTATTGAGGTGATTTTTATTCGCTTGGTAGTATTCACAAGTAATGTTGAATTTTCAGAACTTGCCATAGGCTGTTTATCTCCAAACAATTAGGCTAATCAAAACGTTTATTTTCAATTGACTATCCCCCGTTTTATTATATTGCCTATCCTATATACAGTAGAGTAGAAGCATTATTCATCATAAATATATTTTAAAAATACTAAGTATTTCCCATTTTATTTCAGTATTCGAATATTCAATGAGGGAAAACGGGGCGGGGCTTAATTTAAACCACAAAGAATTAATTCGATCATAAATCGACGGTTTTGGACGGGACGGGACAGTAGGGGTTAAAAATAAGAGGGCTTGATGATGCAGTGAAAAGGGAAAGTTGTTTCAGATGCAGAGCAAGTCATTACATTTTGATTATTTTTTTTTTTTTTAATAGAATAGGCTTTTTTTTCTTTTTTTTTAAAGAATAGGCTTAGTCTGATTTCATGTTAACTTTAAAGTAATTGCCTCTCGTAATTGCATTAACATACAAGTTTTAGTTTGCACTTAATCTGTTCTCATTAATTTTAATACATTTGACTATTAATAAATCCAGTTGATCTTAATGATTAATAAACAAATCATATGATATGTATAAAGATTTTCGATTTATTTGATTATTTATACACACATGGGGTGTAATAAAGCATAACTTGTGTTTTCCCATGCTAGAACATTCTTTTAAGAGTGCTCCTAAACACTATTTTTTTCTTTTTGACTTGAAATGTGTTCAAGTCAGGCTACATTTTTTAAAACAATATTAGTATTTCTTCAGAAAAAAAATACTGACATAAATTAAATTTTCCCCCAAGGTTGGCACAGGTAGTAGCACTAAATATTGCTTATCTGAAAATGGTGACACCCAGTGGTTCAGTAAGGTGACACCTTACACAAGCATCAGTAAATGTATAGCCTATTACAGGACATGCAAGACCACAAAGCACAGAAGTCTGATTTTCTAGAATATTTGCAGTGAACACTTTGTGGCATATTGTGTGACATCTTTCTCCCTTTGGATCTGAAACGTTATCCTGCATTTAATGACAACTGGTGTCTCAATACTGTCAGTGAATACAGTAATACTCAATGTGGTAATGTGCACCAGTGTGGGTGACTTCTTGATTTATCAGTATTTCTTATTAGAATAATAATGCGTATCTTACTATGCAACCATATTAAAATGTAACTGTATTTCTACAGTGTGTTAGACACAGCAAAACATTTCAGCCAAGGAACACACTCTCTTAGCTAAAATGTTATTTTTTTCTGTCTTATGACAAATGTGGGCTTCACCATCTTATGTCTGATGTAATGGACTTTTGGATTTTTGATGTTATCCCTTAGTCTCTTGGGCTCTTGGGATGAAGCTTACATATTTATGAAGGTCATTCATGAACTTGTGCACCAGACCCTCTTCATCACTCTCCTGTCAAGGGAAGGAGAAAATACACACAGCACACTTTGTGCATCATCGGTGATGTGAAGTTTGGGCTTGATTTGAGTGATGGTCCGCTCTTGGTGAGCCTTTCTGCTGTGGAAAGTGTCCAGTTCTTGCTCCATCCACCCAGAGGAAAGCAGCCCAAGCATCGATCTTTTTCTTCAGCCATTAGTGCTGATCTATTCCCCCTCTGCCTCATTTGTACATATGTGGACATATGGTTCATTTGTATTCTAATTGCCAGGCCTTGAAGTGACATGCTACGTTTCGTACAAGGCTGTTTTTTGTCAATGCTGTGCCAATACTAGTGTAGTGCTGTCTTCAGCTATGCTTTGATGTTTAATGTGGCATTTAAGCCTCAAGGGGTCCACATATATGTGTGTATATACTGGCTGGTTTGTAGGACGTTCATTAGGACATGAGTTAAGTTTGAAATCTTTTCTATGTGTGTTTACACTTAAAGACATCAGAGTTTGTGAGATCTGTGGTTGACCTCAGTAATCCATTCTAGCTATGCTTTGATGTCTTTTTTTTTTTACTTTTCTCTTTTAAAATGTAAGACCATCAGCCTAATTGAGACATATTTTACACTTGATCAGAACTTTATCAGTCCACATCATGATATGAAATAGAATCGTGCAGAATTTGTGTAATTTTTTTAAACTGACATGAAAACATTACTTCAGTTATACTTCATTTATCGCCCCAATAATCTTACATTCATTGATTCATTTTTTTCCCTGAACATTGCAAATTCCAATAATGTAAATATATTACCAAAGTAACATTATCTAGCTGTTTAACATAAATCATTTTTGTTGAAATCACAAGGGTGATGTAATTGGAAGTATCACTTAGTGTGGGTTAAAAATGATAAATAATAATTATATGCATTGTTTAATTATAGCAGTACAATTTATGGTTATTAGCACATTTTGAAAGAATATATCTATAACTTTTAAATTTAGCTAAAGATGTTTTGTATTGTGTTTTGTTTGGTCTTGTCTTGTTTTTTGTTTTGTTTTTAAAATGTTGGCAGGTCAAGTAATAATCTGAACTACTTGGCCAAACTGGGCCACCAGAAAAAAAACTTCACTGTTGTGCCCTATTTTTTAATTTAATAAATTATTGTCAATTACATTGTATTTTGTCTTTGATAATTGGCCTAATTTTATAGCCAATTATGTTTGTAGCTTTCTTCTCTCAAACCAATTTCTTCCTAAAGACGATAAAGCCCAGTCCAAGTCTGTGACATTTAAAAGACAAAGTAAACTCTCAATTTAGTCTGTGTGACACTGAGCACAGAGTGCGTGCTCTCTTCTCTTTCATAATGCTGATGACAAAATATGGCCCATCTTTCTAGGCAAGAATATATGCATGCAGAGTGTCACATCAGTTGCGACACATCAACAAGCTTGTGTTGGCAGTTATTATTCATGGACAGTGCTGTGGTTGATGTTGGAGGCTTTGAGGAAGGAATAAAAGACAGGTAATAGATGTGCTCTGTCAAATGCTTTGCGAGAGAGATACGCAGAGACAGCCGAGCAGTTACTGTTATCTTAAAATGAGTGTATGTGTGTGAGAGCGAGGACAAGAGATTATTAAAACAGGTGTGTGTCTCCACATGCTGATGGTGTGTGATTATTCATTACTTGCAGGCTTGCTGCTGGCTCTCTACTGAGAGCAAGTCCCAGAGTCACCTTGACTGAGCCTCATATAGAAATATCACACTTATTACAACTGCTGCCGTGGCCCAACCTGTCCGACCCATGAGAGACATGAGGATTCTGTACTTAATATTTGATTTAAACCAAACTATATGGTTGCATGAAATGTACATGTATGCTTATACTGTATATCTATATATAGCCCTAAAAGCTTTGTATATTTTCATGTAAATATATAACTTAAAAAATATTTTGTTTTGTTTTGGGTAACCCTGTATTTTAAGGTGTCCTTGTTACACATGTTACATGTACTTACTATTATAATAACAATAAATTATGCATATTTACATGCAAGTAACCCTAGCCCAAACCCTAATCCTAACCCTAACCGTACAGTAAATACATACAGTATATACAAGGACACCTTAAAATAAAGTGTAACCTTGTTTTGTTTTGACCAATCCTTATTGTTGTGCCCTAATTATTATTATTATTTTTTATTTATCAGTTATGTCCAACCAATGAAAGACATGATGATTCAGTACTTGATATATGATTTAAAGCAACTATATAGTTTCATGCAATGCACACGTATGCATTTATATTTGTATATGCTGCCATAAAAGTTCTTCTATCTCCGTCTACTGGCTGAGGATGCCTGCAGCTTCTGCTGCTCATACTTCACATGCTCAGTTCCCACATTCGCATCACTGATCCCTTTTTATGGGCTGTTGAGCCAAAGAACGAGAGAGAAAATAGAGAAAACAGTCTATATAGGATGAAACGCTATGCTGGTTTGCAGACCATTTATCTCTAAAATTTTAATTATAGTAAATATTACCATCCAGGGACTTAGAAGCAGCCATTGTATATGACAGGAGGACAATGATAAATGGGGCTGTAAAATCCATGTAACTAGATTTTTGTGTGTGTTGCTCACAGTGCTTATGCAATGCATACATTGATCCTTTCTAGATACTGTTCCACTGCTGTGGCTCAAAAATTTTAATTTATAGTCTTCCGGAATTAAAATTCACACTGTGCGCTCTGGTCCCAGATGAACTGTGTTCTTGGTCAGCAGATATGTAGCAGAAACCCCTTACTTGAATACTTTGAAATGAGCTGCTTCTTTTCAACAAAAACATGTTCTTCTATAAGTCCTCCTCAAACTGAAGATCTGCTATCCTACAACAATATGTTTCTCTCTCTCTCTCTCTCTCTCTCTCTCTCTCTCTCTTTCATTTTTTAGTAATTAGAAATATTTAAAAACGCGTGCATTCATGTGCATCTTTACTGCATTAGAATGAAAAGAAAGATATCATTAGTTGATGATTCGATTGACTAAGTAACAAACGAGGCAGCAACTGAATGTATCACAGTCCATGCAATTATAACTCCTACTGCTGTCAAACTGAAATGACATCAGTAAGAAATAGTGTTTACCTGTCGTGTCATCCATGCGGTGTGGGCGTGACTTCACTTGCCTTCTCAGTCGCCCTCTCCTGGATAAAACTGTGAATAGCCATGTGCAAGAAACTGCTAAGGATTCCTACATTTTAGCA